AGTTTTAGATTTTCGTAAAATTCGCCAAAATAAAAAAGCGCTTGAAGTTTTAAACTGGATTTTTTAAAAGAGCTTACCAAAGGTTGTCTTCTGACAAAATATGAGAAATTTGAAAATTCCTTCGCTGTCCCGCCATTCTCGACCGTTACGGACAGCCACTCTTAATAACAGATTAGCTCCATTTTAACTCTAAAGTGAAAAAAAGAGCTACAAACTTCAGTTGTGAAAAGTCGACTCCAAAATCATTAAGAAACTGAAACATATTTACCAATGATAGCTATTTTAATACCTGAACAACGATCAAGATCCGAGCAGGAATATTGGCTGCAATCTTTTCCTGTCCAATCTTTATCGCACTTGCAGACATCAAAGTTGACACATTTTCCATGACCGGAACAAGATGACACGTTAAGACATGTTGGGATAATGCTACAATCGCTTCCTATAGGCAGGTGATACGGTTTCAATTAAGTAGCATTTACAATGATTATCGTCATTGGCAGTCTATAAAGAAATAGAAAAAAGGGGAATCTGCCTGCTTGGAGTCTCTATGGATCTAGTCCTTTTTCAGGATGCTGGGAGTAATCTATGACACAGGAGTTACCTATGAATGATGGGGGTAACTTATGATCCAGTTGCTTGGATTCCTATCCAACAGGTGTGACGAAAGAAGTACTGAGAAAACTCCTCTTAACCTTAACTTACCCATATATCCATCATTGCAGAGACATTTGTTTGTAGTCTTGCAGACTCCATGAACTGGACTGGTTCAGTTATTCACATCATAGCAAGTAGCTGGATATTAAATAAAGGTAAAGCTGGTTTAAGACACTAAAAAGCGGAGATGTTTTTAAAGAGTATCTTGGGAAAAAATGTTTTTACCTTTCTCGCTGCAGGTATCTCCTTGCCATCCAACGCTGCACTGACAAAACCCTTTGATACATTTACCGTTACTAGTTGAGCAGTTCGGGCACGTCCCTGTTAAATTACAACGTCAGAATCACAACTAGATTTTTGTTGCATATTCTACAAACAGGTTTAGCATTTTATTATGATGTTAAATACCTATTTCACACTTTTCTCCAGTCCATCCTTTCAAGCATTCACAAGTTTGATTGACGCAGCGGCCCTTGCCCGAACACTGATCTGGACATCCTAAATGGAGTTTAAAGAATGACTGTGATTACTACCAACCAAGCTGTTATCCATCTCATTCGTCCATCCTTTCTTGCATATCCATTTATTCATACATTCATCGATATAACAATACATCCACTATCTAACATTCATCCCTCCATTCATCCATTTATTCGACCATAAGCCAATTATTTTATTCCTTCCTCCCTCCCTCCCTCCCTCCCTCC